AGTTCAGAAAGAGTAAATACAAATGGCTCTACAACGTATGGAAAGGAGTTCAACCTCATTTAAACAAAAAGAAGTCAAAACTACAATGACATATTATTTTTCGCTTATCACACTGCAAAACTTTTTTAAAAATAAGAATACACTTTGATAATACACAATAACAGGCACTCACTTTTGCAGTAACCTCTATGAAAGGCAATTTGTGATATTTACTAAAATTAAAAACCAAACAGACCATTTGACCTAGCAGTTATACTTCTAAGTATGTAGATATGCTCATTTACAGATATGCTCACCTTCTGTTAAATGACTTATTTAATGCAGTATTGTTTTTATTAGCACAAAATTGGAAACAACCTAAACTTTTATCCAGAAAGGACTAAATGAATGAAATCTGGTACAGTAATACAATGGAGTGTTCTGCGGCAGTTAAAAAGAATATATTGATATGGAATGTGCTCTAAAGCATATTGCTAAGGGAAAAAAGCAAGGTTTGGAACACCTTGTATAATATACTATCATTTATGTTTTAAAATCCACTTTTACATATATGTCTGTATTTGGAAATGCTTGGAATATATCTAGAAGTTACACTAAAACATAGTGACAGTGATTGCCTCTGCTACTAGGGGACAGAGATGTAATGAGACTTACTTTTTCCTATGTCTCATTTTGTACTTTTTGAATTTTGTACCATGGACATTATTATTTATAAAACTTGAATTAAAACTCATACCAAAGCAAAAAAGCTTATGAACACATTTAAAACAAATAGGTTTAAAACATAGATAATTTAATAAAATATATTATCTCTGAATAATAAATAGCAAGCAAAATGCCCCAAATCTGAGGTTTTTGAATAGCCTACATGGGTTTAGGAGTGAGAGATGAATCTTAAAAACCTCTGATAGATGAAATTTTCACAGTAGTATATTTCTTCCCAGACTAAATCCCCCAGGGAAATCAGTTGAATGCCTTATACTATAATTTTAGTTTTTTATTTCCTTTGCTGCAAGAAGGAATTCCCTGGGATTTTAAAAGAGCATGGTTTAGCAAAGTCTTAACTTCACAGTTAGGTTCCTAATGTACTATCCATGGGTGACATCTTTCCAAATGAAATAATTGGAATTCAGTGGAAGGCGTGGCAGCTACACCTGGAGTTTGATGTTGGAATAAGCAGCAAGTGTGGTCTAACACCCAGAGGCACAAAGCTGTTACAGAGAGCTCTGTCAATTTGAGTGTGTCCTTAATCAGTCTGAAATGATTTTAACATTGACTTGAATATGTATATGCTTTGAGACAAGTATTAGGAATGATCTCACAAAGATCTCACCAGGGAATGGGAGAAACCCTTCCCACTGTGCTGAGTGGGATGAGGATACTGCCAGCCTGCTGCCTGCTAAGCTCCCCTCCAAAAAAAACCCATGATGTGGAGGAGAGTGATGAGTGAGCTTCTTACAATGTGCCTATTCTTGCAGAGTTCTCTCTCTTCCATTCTAGCTGCTGGGGTTGTGTCAACCTTGTCTACAAGGTAAAATTGAGGACCTCTGCTTTAAAACATCAACTCCATTGCTTCTTAGTCCACTGTTTTGGCCTTTATTTTGGTAGCTTTTTTGATCTCACATTTTCCTCTTCCCAGGAGGAATCACACCTTGAATTCTAATTATCTTAGTTAAAAAGAAACATTGAAAAGATTTGTTGACATTCAGTCAAGATAAAAAATGTAGAAGGAGTTGGGGCAAAGGCCAAAGACTCACTGGCCAGTTTCAGAAGTGTCTGGCACCCTCTTGGGCTCAGTGCATTTTTTTTTTTTTTTTTGAGACGAAGTCTTGCTCCATTGCTAGCCAGGAGTGCAGTGGTATGATCTCAGCTCACTGCAACCTCCACCTCCCGGGTTCAAGTGATTCTCTTGCCTCAGCCTCCCAAGTAGCTGGGACTACAGACATGTGCTACCACGCCCAGATAATTTTTATATTTTTAGTAGAGATGGATGAAGTTTCACCATGTCGGGTAGGATGGTCTCGATCTCTTGACCTCGTGATCTGCCCACCTTGGCCTCCCAAAGTTCTGGGATTACAGGCATGAGCCACCATGCCTGGCCTTTTGTTTGTTTGTTTGTTTGAGATGGCGTTTCACTCTTGTCACCTAGGCTGGAGTATGATGGTGCGATCTCGGTTGGCTCACTAAAACCTCCGCCTCCCGGGTTCCAGTGATTCTCCTGCCTCAGCCTCCTGAGTAGCTTAGATTACTGGTGCCCAGCACCATCCCCAGCCAATTTTTGTATTTTTAGTAGAGATGGGGTTTTACCATGTTGGCCAGGCTGGTCTCAAATTCCTGATGTCAGGTGATCTGCTCATCTTGGCCTCCCAAAGTGCTGGGATTACAGGTGTGAGCCACTGCACCTGGCCAAAGTGCATACTTATTGATTGACTCTGTTCTTAACTGATTTACTGATAAGGTTTGGCTCTATGTTCCCATTCAAATATCATCTCAAAATGTAATACCCACATGTCAAGGGAGGGACCTGGTGGGAGGTGATTGGATATGGGGTGGTTTCCCCTATGCTGTTCTTGTGATAGTGAGGTTTCACGAGATATGATGGTTTAAAAGTGGCACTTTCCTGCTCTCTCTCTTTGTGCCACTATGTAAGACGTGCCTTGCTTCCCCTTTGCCTTCTGCCATGATTGTATGTTACTTGAGGCCTCCCCAGCCATGTGGAATTATGAGGCGATTAAATCTCTTTTCTTTATAAATTACCCAGTCTCAGGTAGTGTTTTATTTATAACGGTTCTTTAATTTATAGCAGTGTGAAAACAGACTAATACCTTGACCCTCCTTAAAAATGGCCATAATTAATTTTCAAGTTCTGGAGGGAAGCTGTAACCGAGTTTTATTTCCAGTGAGGCCCAGCACTTGAACTTTTAGAGGCTCACTTTATCTTCTACCCTTTGCTAAGGTTTTCCTCAGTTCATTAGTAAATCTTCTTTGAGGGAATGAAATAAAGAGGGCATCAGAGGAAACTTGCCTTTGTCAAAAAAGTTCTAGTGAAGGATTTTGTCAGCAAGTATTTGTAACTGCAGGCTTATAAGAGGTTTGAGATTAACTCTGGATTTCATTTGTCTAAGCTATATATTTCCCAGTCCTCAGTAAATGACCAAGAATAGATTCTGGATGGTGAGAAATCCATACACTATCACTCTGGAGTGTTCCTTGAGGATTAGGCAAGACATTTTAGTCCTACTGCTTGCTGTGGTTGGCTATGAATGCACACATGGAGTGTGGAGACAGTTACAGGGCAGGCTGACTGCCTCACACAATCCCTTCCCATGCCGCCTGAGATTTCTGAGCCCCATTGCATGGGCAGTCACTAGATCAACTGGAATTTACCCCATTAAATTCAAGTGTAGACAAACCTTCTGATATTCATGCCAGTGTATGTGAAGCATCTGCACTGATACCTGTCTTGTCAGTGGTGGCTAATGCCTTGAAAACATGATGGAGACACGGAGCTGATTTGGAGGCACATGTGTCAGCTATTGATCAAGGGCCTCTTTTGCTCTTGGTTGGGGCCCTGTAAGCCACTTACTTGCACAGACTAACTTTGGCTTCTTTCTTCTTCACATCAGGAGCCCAATTACATCCTTGCCACTGGATTATGTTTAATGACATTCAAATGAACTTTTTCCAGCATCAGTTTAGATCATCCTGGAAAGGCTGACCCTGCTTTCAGGTTTCCAAATGGTGCTTTTCTTCCCACACTCCACTATTTCCTGAACTGATTATTGTGGCTTTCTCCCTCTTCACCTCCTGACTTGTCTTGTTAGTCTAGTCCCATGCAGCAACTTTGGTTTCTTAAAATACTTAGCCAGTTGAATATTTTTTATTTTAGCAGATCATGGCATAGTTCTGTGGTTGTTAATGGAATTTAGCCATTTCTCACTTTCGAAGCGTGGCGTGGTCTCAAGCTACTTATGTCTTTGCCCAGGGCACTATTGTTGTACCAGAGCGAGCACAGAAAATCAACAGCAAGACAAAAGTATGCCAAATTGCAGCGTCTTTATTGCCGGCAGCCACGGAGGACTCATGTCTCTGCAACCTGTGGCCCCGAGCTCAGGGGGAGCAGGGTTTTTAAGCTGAAAAACCACATCCTGGTTTTAGGACCAAGAGGGTGAGGGGATGCAGGGCAAGCAACTTTACAGAAGCTTTTTCTGGCAGTTTCTGATAAGCAAAGGCAAGCAGCTTTACACAGTGAGCTTCCTGGAATTTGGGGAAATTCTAAGTGGTCCCCGGTGGAGAGCTGCAAGTCAGACATTACAATAGAAAATTTCTTCTCTTTCTTTTCAATCAGCATTTTTCAGAGCAAGCTAGCTGTTTTTATTTACAGAAGCCAAGGTCAGCAGTTATTGCAAGGAAAACAGGGCTGCACTTACAACTTATTTTTGGAAAAACAGCTTTATCTTGTATAAAATGGCGTGGCTTAGGTTCTAACTCTAGGCCGGCTATAGCACACCATCCTACTCCCAACTCCTTCATTTGTCATCTCTAAATCTAGAGGGTATCATTTTCATCATTCTCACTTCTTATGACCTCAAAGCTCTCCAGTTAGCAGCTTGGGCTCTTCCTAGAACCCCACTTCCATGGTCCCTACATAAGGGTCCTAGAAACCTACCCAGTGTCAAAACTTGGCAGTCCCTATGCCTGTCCTTGCCCTGCAAAACCACATCCAGGAGTGAGGAGCTGTACCTTAGAGCATTTTACCATTCCACACATGGCACCTTTCTTCAGCTCACTTTGGCACTCATTATAATGAGCCTGGAATGGAAGGCAGTGGGTTTGTGGAGCCTTCACGTAGAGGAGTGCTAGCTTTTTCTACGTTCAGACAGAACAGGATGAAACTGAAGTGGCTATGCAGATATTTTGGTCTCACTAGAATTCTTGTTCCATTACACAACAACTTTAGGCAGTCAAAATTTCATATTTGAGAAGGAGGCAAGAATTTTGTCGTGCAAGGCTCATGCCCATTTTCTGCAGCAGGTTTGCTTCAATTAATTTCTGACATATTCTTTCCTTTGTGAAGGTACAAAGAAAACACACAGAGAGACCCAGGACTTTTTCAAAGGTACGAAGATTTGGGCAATTTGAGGGAAAATACAAGGAAGAGAGGAAAGATTTACTCTACACCTCCACACCCCAAAATAGAGAAAGCCAGATGTGTATTATCTATCTGTGTGTGTGTGTGTGTGTGTGTGCGTGTGTGTGTAGGTGTGCACGCGCATGCATGAACATGCACACACACCGTGTGACTCATGACTCCAAAGTAATATAGCAGATTTTCAGACGTGGTTTTTGGAACCTTTCTTATTACATTAATATCTTGGCCTCCATATATGTGCATTCCGCGCCTGTAGGTGTACATGCGCCCAAACCCAAAGCTCACAATATAAGACCCAGAGTGCTAACATGACAGACTCTGCAGTTGATGAAAAGCGAGCATTGAGATTTGTGTTGTATATGTTTACATCAAGATTTTGAATTCAGGGACCTGCTGTTTTCACAGTCGCTGCCATTCTCTGCACAGCCTGTTTGGAAATGTTACAGTCCCTGAGAGACCGGCTCCCTCATGAATAGGCAATTAGATGTCTCCTCCCTCCAGGCTGCAAGAGATGCTGCCTCCCTCCTGGAATCTTCTCTACTTTTAGAAAACGTGTGCGTAACTTGTAAATGTAGTTTTCAGTGCTGGTAAGAATATTTTTGTTTTGAATAACAATCGCGTTCTTTTCCACAGTGCAGGCACTCTGCTGAGGAGCACGGAGCCCCTCCCAGCCGGAAGGCTTTTGCCGTGCGAGCCGCGCCTGTCTCAGAGCCCCTCTTTATCAACACCGGGCTGCACGACCAGCTTCTGAAGTACACAGTAATCATAGTTGTTCTCACATTAAAAAGAAGAGGAAAACAAACAAGGCGCAGATATGTTCCGCAGTTTTCTCAGCACTACATGGAGCTGTGACATGCAGGCTGCCTGGGGACCCCTCCTCCCCCATCTCCCTCTCACTAGCTGGGGAACCCTGGACGGATGCGGGACTCCTCTGGGTTTCAGTTTCTCCCTCTGAGCAGTGAACCTCCTAGACTGTTGGGTGGATTAAATGAGATACTCTATAAAAATGCTTGGAATAACCAGCTGGTGCAGGTCAGCTCTCCATACTGTTGCTGCTGCAGCTCTTGTAGAAGGTAGGTTTACCAGGAAATGGGCCCTCGATATGCAGATTCAAATATAAATGTAAGCATACAGATTCCTCAGAAAATGCAGTCCTGTTCGCCAGATCTTGGCTTGACCTCCTTTTTCTAGCCAGTGCTGGTATTTTTTAAAAATCAGAATTGAGTCCACTTTAAGAAAGAAAATCCAATTTGAGTGTCAGAACCTTAGCCTTGCTTAAAACTCTTTACCAGTTCCCTATCATCTATAGGAAAAAAACGAGACTCCTTAATAAGGTATAAAGGGTTATTTGCAATGTGGCTACCAACTACTTCTCTGTCTTCTTCCCATGAGACACTGCCATATGTGTTTTATGCGGCAGCAGGAATGAATTGGCCACAGTCCTGCTATGGCACTGTATTATTTCCTGTACCTGGGCCTTGGCAAATACAAATGCATTAAATTCTCCCTCCCCTTCTTTACTTTCTGGGACAACTCTGGCTCGATCTACGTGTGTCTTCTCTAACATCCATGCTCCCCTGAGTTAAGGTATGGTCTCCATCCTCCATGCTTTGCCCATATTTTTAGTCTTGTATATGTACGTATTACCTGGGGTTGCAATGTATTTGTTTATTAGTTTTTCTTCCCCATGTGACCCAGAGTTCTTTGAGGAGACAAACTAGGTCTTATTCATTTCTGTGTTCTAGCACTAAACAAACAGTACAGACTCAGTGATGCAAAAAATTGTTTCATGGTTAAATTGAAATAGAGAGTAAATGTTAATATTATTAAAGCTGACACTGCAGAGATTTTTGTTGCCTGTTTTTTTTTTTTTTTTACAATACTGAAGTCAGCGCTTGTATTTAAAATATTTTGTAGAACAAGGCCCATTTATATAAATTAAGAGTAGTTGAAGCAACAGCAAGAAGCCTGGTGTTTCTAGGATTAATTATATTTGATTCAACAAGTATTGTTCTAAGTGCTAGGGGAAATGATGAGGATGGAATAAGATACATTATGTTTCCTCAAGAAGCTTTCAATCTGGAAGGGGATAAGGTAAACAGAGTAGAAATGGAGAAAAATTCATGCCATTAGAGGTGAACACAAAAGAGTTCTGGAGGTTTGAAGGGAGAATTAGCCAAATGTAACTGGGGATTAGGAGGAAGTGTTGTATGGAACTGTCAGTGTTTGAGACTGGCCTTGATGGACTTGGCAGAGATGGGAAAGAAGGACATTCCAGGCAGGAGGGACAATGTGTGTAAAGATCTAGAGGTGTCTAACAGGATATCCACTTGGAGACGAGCAACCATCCACCAGGCTCTGTCTTATGGCCAGCATGGGGAAGCAGTGGGAGAAGAGGCTGAAAAACAAGTTTGTGGCTATTTTACAAAAGGTACTTAGTCCCCAAATGAGGAAATTTGACTTAAGTTAGCAAGCATTGGGGAGCAATGAATACTTTTAAGCAGAAGAGTGAATAAACAGAATACTAAATAAATTGTGGCTTGTTAGCATATATGGATTGTCCGGGAAAAGGAAAACCTCACAGTAGGGATAGGAGAGGAGATTGCAAGGATGTAGACGGGAGGTGCTAGCAGTGGAATATAGTATCCAGGAGACCTCGAATTTTCAGGGCCTCACGTCATCATCTACCCTTTGCAAAACAGACAGGGCATGCATTCGTTTTGATGTGAGGATGAGTAAGAAGAAAGAGTCTCATGTGATGCTCAGGTTTAAAGCATGGATAGGGGAAATCATGGAACCATTAACAGAATTCAAGAAATCAAGTAGAGGAAGTCATAGTGGTGGGAATATTGTAAATTTGGGTGGTCTATGCTGAGTTCAAGGATCTTCAGGTAGATCTGAAATTTAGGAGAGAGGTCAGAGTTACAGCTGCATACTGACAATAACTGACATTAGGGAATAGATACTATACTGAGAAAAGGAATACAGAGAGAGGAGAAACCTTAGATAGCACCTACTTTTATTCAACAGAAAAAACAAATCAATAAGGGAGAATAATGTAGTAACAGAACCAGGATAGCTAGTGCAATCTCACGGAATTCAAGCATGGGTTTTGAGGAGGAAATCATTCCTGGAGGGGAATTTCAGTTCACTGACTCCCTGACATGTAGTATAAAAGCTTACCTCAATTTCCAAAGCTTTTTGGAGCTCATATTCCTTTGTAATTATTTGTTGATATGTCTTTCTTTCCTTCCAGACTGGAAGCTCCTCCAAAGTAAAAACATGTCTTGTGTTTTTCCAACATTTAGCAAAGTACCTGGAATCTAGCTAGGACTTAATGCTTGTTTGTAGAGTGAGTAAATAAACAAAGTAATAGGGAAATGAAGACAAGGGAAGGCCCGAAGTGCTAGAGGAAGAGGTATAGCTCCTGAAATAAAGGAATCGAGTGTTTGAATAATTTCCTGATCTTGAGAGAGGAAGAAACAACATCTATGAAAAGGTGATTCAAAAGCAAACACTTAGAAAAATTCTAGGCCTTTCACTATAGCATGAAATTCATCTACATTTTCATAGATTTAAGCTTCATGATTTGTGAGGTATTGCAATGAAATTATCTAGGAAGTAAAGAGTTCTATAACATTCCAGCTGCTTGAATTCAACTGGCCACATGATTAATGACATTGCTAGGCACATTCAAGGCCTTTCATTTCCCAAGCACTTTATGAACATTGAGTAATCTCACAATACCCTTGTGAGATATTATCATGTTCATTTTCCATATGGTTAACTGAGCCAAGGAAGTTAAATGACTGGCTCAAAGGCCACACTGGAAGTCAATGGCATAAAACGTTCAGAAAGAAGGAATCCCCAGGTCCCATGCCTCACTGTAGGTTGCTGAACCAAATCTCACTCCATGTACTGCTAAGAAGCCTGACAGGCCAGTACTATAACAGATTAGACTTTATAGTCAGGATAGGTGAGGATCAGCATGCTGTCTCTGGCAGGTCAGGGCTGGCCTCTGGAAAGAGAGAGAACTATGTTCTGCAGGACAATGTGATACAAGATGTGCCTGGAAAAGGAAGAGTGAAACCCAACATGTATGAAATCACCCCTATGAATTTCCAAAGACATTTAGTGAGATGAATCCTCGTCGGGGTGGAGAAAGACAGGCTTAGGAAATCTTGGTTGATGGGCATCTTAAATCTGAAAATTGAGGCTTTTCTTAGAAATATTTGTATTATTCTTTACCATTCAGTGTTGATTTTAATAGTCTTTTTTATACTTCTCCTAAAATACTATAATTAAGAATTAAGTATTTCTTAATCTGATGCTCCTTTGATATAAAAAATACCAAAATATTCTCATACTGTCAACTCCTATGCACATGGCCTTTAAGAAAACCACAAACTTCTGATGAATTGGAAAGGTGCAATTTGACAGTCCCAGTTAGCTCACTAGGTTAGGATGTATGCTTCTAATTTACAATCATGTATTTATAGCCAAATCTTAAAAAGTATTTGTGCCTTAGTTTTCTCCAAATGAAGAGAAGAGTATGGTGTGGATGCTCTTCATGTCTTATGCATATTCCCCTGGGCTCCTTATATTGGGAGCTCAAAGACTCAGTGGCTTCTACTGTAGGCAGCTGTGACTTTTTGCCTGAGGACTTTCTCTGACTGCTAGAGCATGCTCAGCCTGAGCTGGGGAGTTTAGAAGCCTGGGCTACTGGTGTCCCAGGAGTAGATCTCGAGGACATCCAAATGGGAATTGGTGGAGCAGGACCTCAACTCTCTCAGTATGCCCTGTCTTCTATGCAGCCTCACTCCCAGCAGTCCTTAGTAGGACTGCACCTCAGTCATCTGCAGAGGTAGTTTATTTGGTAACACATAAGCTGTATTGACTTCTTTTTTTCCCAGTCTCTCTTTCCCGATCTTCTAATTGTGCTACCTGGGATTACCATCCAAAAAGATCATTTGCATCCAAATGCCTGTCTTAGAGTCTGCATTGGGGCCATCCCAACCTGAGGCCATTATAAGGGTTATAAGAGTATCAAAGGATAATGGGACTTTGAAGTCCAGATAATAATTGAGAGTGCATATCACTATTTACAAAGCACTTTCTTTTTAACTTTTATGTGCAGATTTATTACATAAACTTGTATCACGGGGGTTTGTTGTACAGATTATTTTAGTACCCAGGTATTAAGCCTAGTACCTATTAGTTATTTTTCCTGATCCTCTCCCTCCTTCCACCCTCCACCCTCTGATAGGCCCCAGTGTGTGTTGTTCCCTTCTATGTGTCCATGTGTTCTCATCATTTAGCTCCCACTTACAAGTGAGAACATGTGGTATTTGGTTTTCTGTTCCTGTGTTAGTTTGCTAAGGATAATAGCCTCCAACTCCATCCATGTCCCTGCAAAGGATATGATCTTGTTTTTTTTTTGGCTTCATAGTATTCCATGGTATGTATGTACCACATTTTCTTTATATAGTCTGTCATTGATGGGCATTTAATTTTATTCCATTTCTTTGCTATTGTGAATAGTGCTACAAAGAATATATATGTGCATGTGTCTTTATGGTAGAATGATTTATATTCCACTGGGCATATACCCAGTAATGGGATTCTTGGGTTAAATGGTATTTCTATCTTTAGGTCTTTGCGGAATTATCACATTGTCTTCTACAATGGTTGAAGTAATTTACACTCCCACCAACAGTGTATAAGTGCTCCTTTTTCTCTTCATCCTCTCCAGCATCTGCTATTTTTTGGCTTTTTAATCATAGCCAATCTGACTGGTGTGAGATGGTATCTCATTGTGGTTTTGATTTGTATTTCTCTAATGACCAATGCTGTTGAGCTTTTTTTATATGGTTTTTGGCCTTCAATGGATGTCTTCTTTTGAAAATAGTCTGTTTATGTCCTACAAGCACTTTCATACTCAGTTTCTCACGAGATTATTACAACCACTGGTGAGTTAGGATGTCAATTATTATGTATATTTAACATCAAAGATATTGAAGTTCAGTGGGGCTTAATGCCTTGCCAGGAGCCAAAACTAGAGAGTGGTGCCTTT